GTTAATTTTCTTCACAGTGGCTAAGATGGGACTGTGTTTTGGATTCATGCTGAAAACAGTGTTGATAATTCAGAGATGTTTTAGCAATGACTGAGCAGTGCTTACACATAGCCAAGGCCTTTTCTTCTGCTCCTCACCCCACTCAGTAGAGTGGGTTGGGGGTGCACAAGCTGGGAGGGGACACAGCTGGGACAGTTGACTCCAGCTGACCAGAGGGATATCTCATACTGTGTGGCATCATGATCAGTAATAAAAGCTGGGGGAAGAAGAAAGAAGGGGTGGGAGTATTTGGAGTGATTGTGTTTGTCTTCACAAGTAACTGTTATGAGTGACTGGTCCCTGCTTTCCTGGAGATAGCTGAACACCTGTCTACCCATGGGAGGTGATGAATGAATTCCTTATTTTGCTTTGCTTGTGTGCATGGCTTTTGCTTTCTCTGTTAAACTGTCTTTATCTCAACCCAAAAGTTTTCTGACTTTTACCCTTCTGATTCTTTCCTCCATCCTGCTGGTGGGGGAGCGAGGGAGCAGCTGCATGGTGCTTAGTTGCTGGCTGGGATTAAACCATGACAAGGGATTATTTCAGGAGATGTATTTTGTTTAAAGTAGGGGGATATTAATGTCATTTTTTAAGGTCCTGATAAAATCTCATTTGGCGTACTGTGAAAATGTCTAATCAATTGTTCTATAGCTGAGCTAAGGTTGAAGTGAAAGAGAGATAGAGGAAAATTAGGTGCATCACCGGAGAGCTTGAGAGCCTTTCATAAGAACAGATTTTAGGATAGCTCAGCTTGTTTATTTCAGTAAAACAAAACCAGAAAGGAGACACAAGTGCTGTCTATAAATATATCAGGAAGGTAAACATGAAGGATGAAAACCATTTAATTTTCAGGGCAAAAACATAAGAACAAACAGATTTGTACTATTCAGTAATAAATATATCAGGAAACTAGAACAATGTTTCTAGCCGTTACTGCAACTGAATTATGAAACAGCTTTTTCATGGAATTAGTGGGAGCAAAAATATACCTGTTTTTAATATGGCCCTTCATGAATGTACGAGGTGATTGTACAACAGAGCTTTCTGTACTGGCAGAGAACTAGGCCCTGTCATTCAGAAGGACCTTCCTGTTCTGTGTTACCATGCCAATTCATAGTACAAAAACCAGAACATTTTGTCCAGATTTATGATTCATAATACGGAAGGAGTATTATGAATCCATCAAACTGAATGGTAGGCAAGGTTCAGAAGTCTTTACATATGCAAAAGTTAGGCTGAGCTACTGAGACTTGGGTAAAGCATATGATGTCAGCATTTGGTAGAAAAGAACAGAAAAAAAGGAGATAAGCAAAAGAACATTTAAGTCAGACAAAGAAAGTGCAGGGAAGCTGCAGATGGCAAGAAGTTTATCAGCAAAATTCTTCAAGAATCAAGTCATAGCCCCAGAGCTCTTCTTGGATACCAATACAAGTATATAGGAAATTATCCCTTGTTTTTGTGCTCTGTTCTGCTTTTGTGGTACGTACTCTCTGAATTTAGACCTGTGGAATCATTACAACTGTACAGAGCAGGTCTGTAGCTGGTCCACTTTAGCAGAGCCTTAAAATCATTGTGCTGAACTTCCCTAATATACAGCATGAAGCTAACAGCTTAACTGGCCCAGAGAGGCCAGCAGAGCTACTCACCAATGTTAGTTCAACTTATGTAATCAATCCACAACTCAACTTCAAAAAAGAGAAATAAAGAAAAGCTGTATGCTATGAGTTGGAGGTGTTAAATTTATTGAGATAACACTAGATTTGTTTCAACACAGAGCAAGCTCATACCAACAAGCTCATACCATCAGGGAATTAAATAATATTTAATTGGAAATGTGCCACTATGCATTTTCTGAAACCTTTTATACCATTAAGTGCCTCATCACACATACATGATGTTAAGAACTACTGAAATGGAATAATATAAAACTCTGAAGTTTGAGGATATTTAGATGTTTCATTGTCTAAACACTTTGCTTCAGAAATGCATCTGTTCCTCCGAGGAGACACTCTCTTATGCAGGGGCAGCACTGATTCTATCGCTAGTGTGTATCCTACTTGATCTTCAGCAGCAGGGCTGTGAGCACTTCACTGTCAAACCTGGTGGCAGAACGTCACTGTTATTTCTTCAGAAGCTGCTAATCAGTGATGCAGAGGGTGACTCAATTCTTTATCTTCAGTGAATCAATCTTTTTTACGTGTGCCTGTGTCACAGAGATATCTATAATTCAGTCACACAAAAGGCTGATAGCATTTTAAAGGTCTCCAAAAGGGTTTATACATAGTCAATGTGTATTCTGAGTTCCATGCTAAATAATGCTTCAGTTCCTGCTCTTTCTGTTCTTACAGTGTACTTCACATACTTGTATATGGTTGCTTGAAAATCACAAGGGTACAACTACATCAAATCACAGTTTTACCACTCTGTTTCTTTTCTTTCATGATATAAATCACTAGGTAGAGTGCTGTCATCAACTCTAACAGGAGGAAGCCATAAAATCTCTTTCCCAACAATTTTAAAACTTCCACCAGCAGTTTTTTGCAATTTGTGTTATATGTGCTGTTCTTCTCAGTCTAGAAAAGAACTAACTTGAATGGAAATCTGTGGAAATTAAGCTGAAAATTTTAGCAACACAGCTTTATTTAAAGCATAGTTGAAATAATTAAAAAATGCAAGTCACATATTCATGTCCTTGCCTTTCTGAACATGCACAGCATGGTTCATTGCAATGCTGGGAAGCTGGCATGAAAGTCTTTGTAACTGAAAGAAATAACTACACCAACATACTCAAGGTCCAAATGTTCTAAAATATTGATGTATTAATTTTACAGTTTTATTAAAAAAGATAAGGAGATCTAACCAATGCCAAGAATTCATTCTCCAGTACAGTAAAGTCCCACTAGATGGAGGTAACTCAGCTGCAATAATGAAAGGACTAAGCTGAAGTACAACAATTTAAAGTACATGCTATAGAAAAGCTATCAGTGCTGGCAGAATTTTGAGGGATGCATTTTATCTTGCCCAAGTTTGTCTATTCTAAAATATTAAAAATCAAAGAAATAGTCACTTTTACTATGAGCCATGAGCCATATGAGCCATCTCATAAAACTTAGCTGTGCTGTAGGTTTACATGTGGCATATGCTGCATCTTTGGAATTCTTCCTGAACCCCTGCAGATGAAGAACACAACACACTTTTTCTCTAAATCCCCTTTATATTTAGTCACTAGCTCAAAAAAAACCCAAAAACAAAACCAAAAAAAACCCCAACCAAAAACCCTGCTTTCCCAAGTCCTTGGACAGGGTCCCTGGTTTTAAGGGCTTTTCCCCTCAGCCCAAGCTTTTATGTAGCTTTCAGGTACATTAGATTTTACAAAGGTGGTCACAGATTGACTTTCCTTGACCTTTCTTGTTCTGAAATAGAAATTGTAATAACAATACTTACTTAATAAACATGATCAGTGTCTGTCTTTGTAGTGCTTTTGTCCTACAAACTTCACATAGCATTCCACAGGATTATTAGTTGCAAATAACTTTGATCTTTGTTAACCTAAATTTATAGGTTCATCCTTGTTCCAGGTGGCATTCTCCCACAGATGATGATCCCTCAGTGCTTGGCTGACAAGATGAATAACACCAGAAAGGAAAATGAAATATAAAAGTCAGCCTTCAGAACTATTTTCACATTTTTTAGATATTATCAAAGAATTTTAACATAGATTCTTAAGAGAACATTGTTTGTGAAGTGGCATTTTAAAAAGAGGTCTTTTTATTCAAAAGGATTTTCCTAAGAAAAATCTGCTCCTTAGCATTTTGATTTCTGTAGTTGTGTTCTAGGAATACCTTGTTTTAAGATTAAAAATGGTGGATTTATTAACTAGATTAGGAGGAGCAAGAGGAGAATGATAAAAATAAGTCTGTGAGATGAAGAAATGTGATTGAAGCCTGCCATCAGTGGCTGTTGGAGTAAAATGAAATCACTGCATTTGCACCACTATCCTGTGCTACTGCTCCTAGATGTTTTAAGTGGGAATGAAATGAGAAGAAGGAATGGATGCCATGGCCAAGCAGCTGTGCGACTGTCCACTTCTTGACATGTCTTTGAATGCCTTAGAAATTTTGGCTGTTTCCCTGTGAGATTGATCACACTAATGAATTCGGTAGCGCATAAAGCAAACTAAAAGGGAAAAGCTTTTCTTAATGTGAAAACTTACTGAATGTTACTTTTTATTAGTGATACGAAGGAGCTTTCTTAAAGGTAGATTCTTTCTACAGCCTTCCTAATACTTTAACCTCTTTGGTTATGGAAGCTGCCTTGGAATTTCAAGGATTAATTACATCTAATAGCACTTTAGCTCCTTTCAATGATACAAAGAGTTCAGAGAAAAGCTAACTGTATTCCAGTCTTCCAGATATTTATGTCTATATGAGTGTGTAGGTTCAAACATGCCTTACTTTTTGAAGCAAGATTTTGAAATAGTGTTGCCATTGCTGGCTGCAAAGGCTTCCAGAAGATACCTAATTATTCTGAACACTGTCATTTTAAAGCAGATTTATATTTGTGGTCCAAGTACTGTATATAGTGGTTTTCAGACACTAATCATTATATTTCCACTTGAAATAACAGACTGTTCCTATCCTGTTGAAGTCCACCAAAGCATATTATGAACCCTTACAGACCAAATTTTACTACATATTTGTTCTTTCCATTACTTTGAACACTGTTCCTACATGTTCTGGTGGGCAAACAGGAACACGGATGGAAACCTAGTTTTTTGAAATGGGAGTTCATTAAATGAGAGTGTTCGTGTTACTGATTCAGAAAAATATTTGCTTTCCATTGTGTTTTCCTCCTTCTGACAGCCCTCTGCTTCTCCCCCTCTGTCACATCCACTCCCACAAAGGCTGTCTCTCCAGGTGAGGCCCCAGCCCAGCCTGGGCTGACACTGGTGACTGCTGCAGAAAGAGGTGGGGCTGCCACAGCCACAGCTCCCTTCACCCTTCCACCGACCTGAGTTCAGCTGTTGCTGCTGCTGCTGCTTTGCCAGTGGCAGAGTCATCCCTGTGCAGTGTAATCCCAGCATCCTTGGAGCATCCAGCAGCTGCCAGGCACTTGCAGCCCTCTCATGAATTTCTTTCTTTTTCTTCAAGGGGCTGATTTCTGATGCTTCAAGGCTACTATTTTCCATCTCCTCACAGAAACACTGTAAGTACAACTTCTCCTGTGTCTTCTCAATTATTGCCTCTGTGAAATTCATGTCTTGTACTGAAGAGTAGGAGTTATTAGTTAAAAAAGGTCTGCTGTGGTCTCTGCTCCTGTTTGAGGTATTCAAATGGACCATTATCATTTTAGTTTTTAGCTGGATTAAAACATGAAATCAAAACAACTCAAAATGTTGGTGGTTTCCTGATTGCCTTTTTCCTACATTGTAGCTAAATTGACAGTGTATCCTTTCTCTGAAGGCTGGTGCCTAGTGAAGCGGAAGTGAGAAGAGAAACATTTCCATCCCTACTTATTTGCTGGAACAAGTTTTGTAAAGCCCAAGGAAGAGAAACTTTATTGCATATTGATAAACTCTTGGGATGCTGAAGCAGGTAATCCTGCTGCCTTCTGGAATGCAGCTGGCCAAGGATGTTTTATAAAGGAGCTAGGCTGGGGTGGGTATCTGTTTGTCTCAGTTCCTTGGGTTCTGAAGCTGAGGTAAAGGAATACATGACTTTAGGGACCTCAGATGGCTGCAGCAGTGTGATTACACATTCAAACTAAAAATCACCCCAGGACCCAGAGGCCACAGCAAAAGGGCCCATTTCTAGCTGTCCTGTTTCCTGAGCTGGTTTGGTGTGACCTGAACTCCATGGTGCTGCCTCAACTCTGTATTCTTACAGACACTTCACATAAATGTTGTATTATCTGTGGATTGGCCTCTCTTTATTGCATCACTAGGAATTGCAGAAAGGACATCAGTATGTTAACACTCTGAAGACATCATAGACTAACTTTTCATATTGACAGTGCCAGAGATATTCAGGGTGGGAGTGCACACTTGCAGTTCTGGCCAAGTTCCCACTAAAATTTGCACAGTTGCCGAAAATGTTGCCTCTATCTGCACAAAACTTCATGTAATTTTGTAATTGTATTTTACATTCTGAATTGGAAACTGTGGGGGTGAGTATGGCACCAACTACTTGACAAAGAATTGATTTAGGACACCAATATAAGGGGCACTATCTGAGAGTCTTGACTGTCTTTTCAGACTTCTTATGCTCTTTTGGGAATTTTTTGGTTTTGTTTTTGTTGTTTGTTTTAGTCTGCTGTTCCACCGTACTTTATCTTGACAGGAAGGATTGATAAAAAAATAAATTATCAGGTGTTTTAGTGATCTTCTGTCTATACTTGCTTCAAGGATATGGAATATACATTATAGGAAAACTGCATTTTCCCAGAGGGAATCCATGTGTAATAATGAATACATATTCTGTAGCATTTGAAATTCTCATTATGCCTCCTGTATGATTGCTCATTCCATCTCCATTTCTCCAGATAGTTTCTGTGTTTTGAATATATGGTAGAAATAACTGTGCCAAAAGTTTACTTAATTTTCTAACATAAGCCAGAAAGGAATTTGCCTTTTTCCAGTCTTGCAACACCTGCTAAATGAGTTCAGAACCTGTCTATGCTCACCCAATTTACCATCTCTCTGAGTTGAGCTTTTCCATGAAAGACTGGCTATTTATAGCTCTGTTCCTTGTTTAATAGCATACCACTAGGATTCTTTAAACATCTGCTGTTAACCTGATTTTACTCATGACCCAAGTGCAAGAGTTTAAGGGAAGAAGTCTTGGTCCCAAGGAGCCTTTCTGACATAGGGTCAGAACTTTCTGCTTCAGGGTCTCATGTTCTAAACAGCATTAAAGATTTCCACCCTAGCTTCAGCATCAGGGTTCATTGACTGATATTTATTCCGTGGTTTGAAAAAAAAAAAAAAAAAGTATTTTTCTGTATATATGCATGGATAATCTCCTGGGGTACCCTTGAAATTATGTGAGAATGAATTACATAATGGCAGAATGACTGTGATTTTATATGCTTCATTTCAGGTACCTTGTTGAAGTATGGAATTTGTATGGAAACGAAGGTGGTATCTTCAGCTGGGCTGTATATTGATAGTGAATTTGGTTTATGCCAATCTAGACTATCAAAAGGAAACTCCGCCAAGCCTGGGTGAGATTGACCATCAGTGCTGGGAGCTATCCTCCCATGGGCTGGTGGAGATGAAGAAACTCAAGGTAGCAGATACAGTCATTGCTCTCTGGGACTTCATGATGTTCCTAAAGGAATCCCCTAAGCTCAAGCACAATGAACTCTTTAATGATTTAGCCCAGAACTTCTGGGATATGTACGTAGACTGTGTGCTCTCAAGATCCCATGGAATGGGCAGAAGGCAGTTAACATCTCCCAGACATTCTTCCACATACTCACACAGAACTTTAGAAGGTAATTATAGGATATGGTGTTAGTCTGTTATGTACTAACCTCTTCCTTGATTGTTTAGACAACTCAATATAGCAATTTCCAGTTTTCTATCTCTTTGTCAAAAGTGTTTGCATCTTTCAATGGTAGCTACTTTCACAATACATTAGTCACTAGTTGTTAGGGTACTACATTTCTATATTTAACAAAGTGCAAAAGATGTTGGGTATGCACGTGGGAGTGTGTGGAAACAGATGCTGAATTTTTTTGTTTATCACTGTGTGCATATCAATGGTAATACATTAATACAATAGTTACAATGCTATTCCTGGTATTCAGATTTCAGTCTCAGCTTTGAGGAATCATCCCTCTGTGAGAAGGGAAGACCAAATCCCAGACAGTCTGAACCCTATTCTTCCTGTTAAAACTACTGACACATAATGTGATCTAATGGCCACTGTGAATCACTAAACAGTGACAGATTCTGGTCATTACTGTCTGGGGTGAGTCTGAACTGAGATCATGTACTGGCTTTACATCTTACTGACCAGGCCTAGGTTTGTTGTTTCCCTTCCTCCTCAGCAATAGATGTCTTTTTCTGAAGTATCCAGTCAGACGGTTTAGGTTTTCAGACTGAACATGGAGATGATTTAATCCTATCATTCCTAACATATTGCTTGGACAATAACTACCTTTCTTTCATAATCTTGCAGGGTCTGCTTTCACCAACCGATTTTAGGCCGAAAGGGGAGAAAATTAAGATACCTCAGCAAGGCAACATCAAAATGAAGGAGTGTTGGGGTGCTTAACTAATAAAAAGCAGCATGAACAAACCATACCAATAGGCCTCAATCTGTCTTAGCAAGAGGCCTGCTTGCAGGTAGTGGGAAAAGTACTGGCATTGATATCAGGCTGCAAGAATGTAAACTACTGAGATAATAAGGAGGAGTTTTTGGAGAACAACAATGATTTCATGTAGCGTGCACAGCAGCCAGTACCCAATGATAAGGGGGTTAGAGATACATGCTTGCCTCGTGATTTACAACATTTAACCAATGGTTTGAAGGTGTTCACGCGCTGCAGGGCTCTGAGGGTATTTAAGAGCCTAGGTTATGTAAATAAAGTGGAACATTTGCTTAAACTATTATTGGTTTGCGTGCGTTTGTTCTCCGTGAGCTCCTCTGCCAACAGGTGGAGCCCGAACGTGTGGTCTCGGTTCGCCGTTCTTCGGGACGTGACACCGACGACAGGAGAGGTCGAGGAAGGCCAGCCGAAATTTGAGTGGCTTTTACCCCGGCGCCAAGAGTCTTAAAAGGTCCGTGCACTGCTGTTTTGGAATCTCGCCCTGATCAGGTGAGGGGCCGGAGGGAGGAGAATGGGGACGGCAGCATCCAAAGAGGAAGAGGCTGCCGAAAAGCTCCTCCACTTTATGCTTTCTAAGAAAGACTTTTCAGTCGATGTTAATGCTCTTAGAGGGCTGCTCGAATGGGCCAAGGAAAAAGGCTTAATCCCCACAGTGGCAGATGCATTTAACGTGTCCGTATGGGACAATATTGGCCAGAAGCTGTGGGAGGAGATCTCAAAAGGGTCTAAAGAAACAAGAAAGTTCCCCACTTTATGGCGTACAGTCAGGGAGTCGCTGCAAGACTTAAAGACTGAATGCCAGGTTGCGGCGTTTGCCTTCGCAGCGCTGGCGGGGACTAATGAGCTATCTTCTAAATCCTCGGTGGAACAATTTATATTCGGGACGGCGGTAGCACCCTCAGGACCTAGGGCGCGGAACCCGGAGGCACAGGGAGCAGCGACTGCGGCTCTGGTTGGCAGAGAGCCCACATCAGCTGCGCTCGCGGTTGCCGCCGAGCCGGGGCCCTCAGCCGCGCTCGCCGCGGCAACCGAGTCGGCTCCGTCTGCCGCGCTCGCCGCGACCGCCGAGCCAGGGCCCTCAGCCGCGCCTGCGCAAACCGTGCTACCGCTTGTCGGAATTGCGCCTGCGCCAAACGCGTTACCGCTTGCTGGGACGGCGTCAGCGACAACAGCGCTGCTGAATGCGCCTGCGCAAACCGCACTACCACTTGTTCGCCCTGCGCCTGCGCCAGCGACGACGGCATTGCAGGTAACGCCGGCGCAGAAACTTCCGCGAAAGACGGAAGGAGCCTCTGTGAATTATCGCAACACACGAAATGTATATCCTGCACTTTCGTCCTCTGCATCGTCATCGAGCAGTGAGGACTCAGATAATGAGAGCAAGAAACCAATCACCGCTCTATTACCCTCCCAGATGAATGAGCTGTTACAACGTATACAGAAACTAGAAACTCAATTATCGGAACAGCATCTCGCCTCGCAGAATACAGCTACTTCTAATACCCCACCCCTGCCTCGGATGGGGGCACCTCTCCCCTTTATTCCCTTCCCAAACCCTCCTGGGGCGGGGAATTCTTTCGGAGATTTTTCGGTTTTACCGGGGGGGGCAGTGGGGGGAAGGGGGGGAGAGGTTAATCCTGTGCAAAGGTGGAAAGGGATATTGAAAGAAGCAGTTATAGAGGGAGACCTGTCGCTTCTGGAAATCAGTGCTTACCATGGATTGGTGGACGGGGCGGGTAACAGATCATGGGAAGCTTTAGATTGGAAGATTATAAAAAAAGCAAAAACAGCAGTTGCTCAATATGGTTTAAGGTCGAGGTATACACAGGCGGTTATACAATACCTTTTCACTGCCAGTTTACTAACACCGTATGATATTCGAATGTTGGTAAACACACTGCTTTCTCCATCACAACAGCTGCAATTTTTTAGTAAGTGGCAATCTAATTGCTATATGGCTGCTGCTACACCAAGGCAACAGGGAGATCCACTGTATGGTGTGACATCTCAAATGCTCTTAGGAACAGGCCCATTTGCTAGAACGGATTGGCAAGCACAATTTGTCAGTGAGGTGCTGCAGTTGAGCCAAGATTTGGCTTACAAGTCATTGCTAGCAGTAAAGGATGAAAAATCAAGCCCTTCATATACCTTGATTAAACAGGGTCCTGCAGAACCATATGGTAAATTTGTTGATCGCCTATATCAAGCCTTAATTGCAGACCCCGATATGGATGATAACATGAAACAAAAATTTCTAGACATGTTGGCCTTTCATAATGCAAATGACAAAACAAAACGAGTTCTAAACACATTGCCTAGAAGTTCATCCACAGCCCAGTTTCTCGAGGTAGCTGAAAGGATGATTGAACAGGAGAAAGCAGCCGTTGTAGCTACTGCAGTGGGGGCAGTTGTCAAGCTCTTGGTATCTGAAAATGGAAAAAGTTGTACAGGAAAAAGAGAAACGAAATGCTTCAATTGTGGTCAGAAGGGGCATATTAGACCTCAGTGCCAGGCATTGCCTTTACAAGAGGCTGCCCAGTCCCCAAAGTGGTGCAAGTACTGTAGAAAAAGTAGTTGTAATACCAATGAGTGCAGAAGAAAGGGAAACTGCAAACAGAGTGCCCAGCACTTCCGTGCCACGACAGCAAATTGGGATGCTTGGATAGCTGCACCGCAGCCATAGCAGGAAGTGCAGGAGTGGATGTGGCAACAGCAGTAGATACCATAATTGAAACCCAGAACGTACACCTGATTGACTCTACTTTACAGGGACCTCTGGGTAGAGGGTTGAGTGCTCTCTTGTTAGGACACTCTTCGTTGTCTCGTCAGGGAATTTTTGTAGTGCCAGGAGTGATAGATGCTGATTTTACAGGCACTATCAAAATAATGAATGGTATATATTTTGGCCCCACATGTTTATATTCCTGCTAATAGTAAAATAGCTCAATTAGTACCTTTTAAATTGGCAGTGCCCAATGCAGAATCACAGATAAGAGGGAATGCAGGTTTTGGTTTGAGAGGTCCCCCTGAGGTGATGTTAGCAATAGATATAAACCAGGGAAAGCCTACGGAGTCAGTAATAGTACAGCATCCTAGTGGACAATCCATCACCATGTCAATGCTCATCGACATCGGAGCTGATGCTACTATCATTCCCAGGCACTAGTGGCCTCAAACATGGCCATTAGTAACAGCACTGACAGGAGTCAAGGGATTAGGTGGTATACAGCAGACATGGATTAGTAGAGATGTAATAAATTTCCAGTTTTCTGATGGTTCAACAGTGGGAACACGGCCTTATGTGCTGTCCTTGCCAGGAGGCTTAATAGGTTGAGATCTGTTGGGAAAAATGGGGGCACGATTGGTTACTTCTCCTTTTTAGGAGCGGCCACTGAAAAGCAGCCAACCTTGAAACTGCAATGGAAAACAGAGAAACCAGTATGGGTAAATCAGTGGCTGCTGTCCAGGGAGAGGCTGCAAATCGTACACACCCTAGTTCAGCAGCAGCTAGAGGCAGGGCATATTGTACCAATGACAAGCCCATGGAATACTCCCATATTTGTTATCCTGAAGAAGTCAGGAAAGTGGAGATTGTTACATGATTTGCGGGCCATCAGTGCGGTCATGGAAGACACGGGGGCTTTACAGCCAGGTTTACCTTTCCCCATGATGATCCCAGGTCATCCTGATAATAGATTTGAAAGACTGTTTTTTTTCACAATTTTTTTGCACCCAGATGGTACTGACAAGTTTACCTTTACAGTGCCCTCAATTAACAAAGCAGAACCAGCAAGAAGGTATAAGTGGGCTGTGTTACCAATGGGGATGAAAAATTCTCCCACGATGTGTCAGAGCTATGTTGCATGGGCTTTGCAGATATTTTGGAAACAGCACCCTGAGCTATTGGTTTATCATTACATGGATGATGTTCTGATAGCAGGGAAAAATTTAGATGTACCAATGCTGTTGTTGCAGTTGGAACAAGAACTGGGTCAAAGAGGTTTAAAAATTGCTCCCAAAAAGGTTCAACAGCAAGAACCATGGAAATACCTGGGCTGGACCATTACAAATGGTATAGTCTGGCCACAAAAGTTAGTCATTAATACTGATGTGGAGACCGTAAATGATGTACAGAAGTTAATGGGTGACATACAATGGGTTAGACCAGGGTGCGGAATAACCAACGATGATCTGGCTCCTTTGATGGCCTTATTAGGAGCTGATGCACAGGCAGATCAGCAAAGAAAGCTGTCTGAGAGTCAGAAGGCAGCTATAATCAACATTTCAGGAAAAATAGCTGCAGGATATGGTAAAGGTTCAATATAAAGATCCACAAACAGGGGACTGGAAAGGGCCTGTGGAGGTAAAAATGATGGGCAGAGGATATGCTTGTATTCTTACAGATTCATGCATCCAATGGTTATCTGCATGATGGATAAAACCGTGGAAAGAAGGTGGTACTGCAGGACAGGGCTAATGCTGTAATAATTAGTGTTAATCCTACCAGGAGCTATTGTAAATAATATTTTCTGTTGTTAGGGCATAGAGGACTTAGGTAAAAAAAAAAAAAGAATTTTGGGGGGGTGAGAGTATGTATGACTGAGGTGTCTGCCTTTGAATGTTTGGAAGACAGTTGTGTGCAAGAGAGAGGTATTGTGTGGGTTTATATATCTACATATATATTTGTAGGTTTAATAATCATTACATAGGTTTTAGAAAAGTTGTGGGGTTTTTTGTGGTTTTTTTTTTTTGTTAATCAAAGGGTGTTGCATGAATTTATTCATTTTTCTATTAGTGTGTATGGTTTGTCCACAAAACAAAAAGGGGGGATTTGTTGGGGTGCTTAACTAATAAAAAGCCCTAAATACCTCTGAGGGTATTTAAGAGCCTAGGTTATGTAAATAAAGTGGAACATTTGCTTAAACCATAT